TTTTTTCTTCTCTATTTTTTTCCATACGTGTGTGGGTGAGAGAGAGAGATAGACGGGGGAAGGGAGGAGGGTGAGGGGGAACCCCGCAGGTTGGTGGGAGGTGTAGCCGTGCTGGGTGCCAGGAGGTCTTTTCTCTTTTGATTGATTTATGTATTTATTATTATTATTATTATTATTATTATTATTATTTTTTTTTTTTTTTTTGTGTGAGAGAGAGAGAGAGAGAGAGAGAGAGAGAGAGAGAGAGAGAGAGAGAGAGAGAGAGAGAGAGAGAGAAGTGGGGTGTCTTTGCCAAGCTGTCCATACATAATGTGATTCTGACACGTGCTACTTCGTTTCTTCTTTGCCTTTTGCCTTCCAGGTAATGTTCCAAGATGCACGCCCGGTATTATGGCTCTCTCATGTCAATGCTACTCCCGATGTGACAAGTGCCCCCTACACGAAGAGCAACTGCCGAGCAGATTGAATGCTGCTGATTGTTTCATCATTCATACAATGCAAAATCTGCTTAACATCATCAGCGGCTGTCCTACACTTGGAGGCGACTTCCAGCAACATCCCCGGGCCAATCATCAATGACATCATCCGAGCTCACCAAATTGAGACTCACCCAAGCGCCCATGCACTTGCACACATAGCGTCAAGACTCAACAAGTAAGCACAGGGCATACATACATGCACGATGGCTTGATCACAAACATATTCGGCGAACACATTCAGCGAATACAGCAAACAAAAAGTCGGAATCTGAATAGGAATCTTGAGCAAAAACATCAACGGGCAAGATTTTCTCAGAAATGTCCAGAGTTGTGTTGCACAGCACAAAAAGAAAACAAGAACAATGCTGCAAAGGTATCGGCTTCCCAAAAAACAACACTCACAGATAAAGAGAAAAAAAGAGGTTCGGTGGTATTCCCTCCTATGATCTTGCACGTGGATTTCTGTCTGCTCTTAGGCTCTTCCTTTTCCTATTGTGAAAGAAGCGCCATATGGTAGGGGCGTTCCTTGTGCTTTTTCTTTCTTTTGTGCTTTTTCCTTTTCTGTTTTTCTGGGCTGAGCGTTAACGGGTCATCTAGTCATTATTATTATCATTATTATTATTATTATTATTATTATTATTATTATTATTATCTATCGTTAGAATAAGAGGGGAGGAGAAAAAGGAGGAGTTTGGTTGGCGAGAAGAAGGGGAAATTATCATTGGTCGTTGCTGGTGTACATCTTCTTCTTTCTTTCTTCTTCTTCTTCTTCTTCTTCGTCTTCTTTTCCTCTCTCTCCTTTCAAGTTCGTTCCTTTTTCTTTTTGCAATGGGACAGCATTGTTTTTTTTCTCGTGAATCTGTACTTGGGAATTGACCAGGATCGTAACAATTACATGTTCATGCATTCAACTACCGTCTTCACCCGAATAGAACGCCTGGTCATAGCTGTATCTGGACTCCGAATTGCACCAGTTAAATTAGTATTTTATTATTTATTTTATATTCATTACAACTGATTTCACTGTGGCAGCAGGTTAGTGCAGTCTTCTTCAAGTTCCCCTCCCCCCACCTTCTTCCCCCCCCCCCCGGCCCCCCCCCCCCCGCCCCCGCCCCGGCAAAGGCAAATCACTCCACCAACAAAGAACTGCCATGAACCAACAACACCCATAGAATCAAGAACGAGCTCTCAGAAATCTGGCAATCCTTGCTCCGTGCTAATCTTCATTCTCTGTATGGTTCCAATTTCAACGGATGTCTCAAAGGACATTCTTCAAGTTCATTAAATATTCTTGCCGTCAAACTTTTGCAAGGAAAAAAAAAAAAAATTTTTTTTTTTTGCAAGGAACAGGAAAATGAGCGAGAGAGCGAATGGCATTGCATCATCACAATTTGAAACCAGATATTCGTGTGTCGCGTAGAAAGCAGAATGCACTCAATATACACTACACGGCATAGAAAGCAGCGTGCACAAAATATGCACCAAACGAAGACGCGCACATTCATGCGCGTGAAACACAGAGCAAAGCAATCATAATGAACTCAATTGTCAATGTCAGCCCCTTGTCTCACCAGCATCAACAAGGTATCCAAGGTCACTCTGCACTGCTGGCTTGTGTGTGGAGAAGCAGTGAACAGAGCCTTAATTTTCATGAATTTTTCAGGGTCATTATAACACGCAGACCTTGACCAAAAAACAGAACAGGGCAAAAAAAAGTAAAAAAAAAAGAAACACTGAAAAAAATCAACCGCAAATGCACTTTTGGGCGGGGTTTAACCTGGGACTGAAAAGTGGGGATCCCTGTTAACCACTTGTGGGCGGCTGGCGAACAACCACAGACTCACGACACCTATGTTAGCGTAGTCTACAACGGTGCAACCAGAATAACTTCAGCAGCGCAGAACTGATGTACATGAAGGTGTCGCCCATGCAGACCTCCACGACAGACCACGTACGCCCTCCTCTCTCCCATGCGCAGTCCCTATCTGTCCCCTTTAAAAGGGTACCTACCACCTCCTCACCCAAGGACCACCTTCGAACCCACTGGCAACCAAGCATGCACGCCCTGGCTATGGCCAATGTGCGACACACGGCCACCAGCAGCGTCCTCCTGCAGAGACCGCGTGCGCTATCCTCCTGGCCTGCGGCCTCGCCTCCCACTGAGGCAGGGCTCACATAGCAAATGCCGGCCAGAATTCGTCTGGCCCGGCTGCGAGCACTTTCCTTTATGGAAAGTGTCTGCTGCGTGGGCCCTACCTGGCTGGACCAGCGTCTGGTTCCCAGTAGTCGTGTTACATGCTGCGCCTGCACACGGGCCCCGTTTCAGGGGCCCGACGGTTGCTGAGGGCCCCCCAGGCCGCGCGCCCTTTGGACGCGCACCCTGGAGGCCCACGGCGGCCCCTAGGGGCAGGATTTGATTTACGACAGCATTCATTTATTTATTTACTTATTTATTTGTTTGCTGTCTTATTTTTGTCTGTTCAGGCATCGTTTCGGATTTGCAGTCCCCAAGGCCGCGCCTTGGGCTGGGTACGCCAGGAGGAGGGCCCTTTGAGGCCAGGTTCGTGCTCATCCAGTTACGGACGTCCCTGCTGCATCAGCAGGGAGGGTCTGGACGTCCGGTCGGGACCCAGACCCACAGTTCGAGTAGCCCACTTCTTTGGGCGGCATGCTGCTGGACCAGCGCTACAGTGCTACCGTGCTATGCTGGGGTAGAGGTAGAGGTGTAGGCGAGCAGAGGGGCGGAGGCCATATCTGCGTCGGCGGTACTTACCTGGGCGCCATCGCCGTGCTCCACGCCGGCGACCTGCACAGGACCACGACGGCAGTTTGTGCGTGGCGGCAGTTACCTGCAGGTGAGACAGCGAGGAGTACGACACCTTCTTCTTCGTCTCGCCCTCTATCTCTTCTCCCTCCTTTCTCCTCCTCCTCCTTCTTCTTCTTCTTCTTCTTTCAGAGAGAGAGAGAGAGAGAGAGAGAGAGAGAGAGAGAGAGAGAGAGAGAGAG